TTCTCTGATCTCCTCCATCTCATTGCTATCTTTGTGTGCTGTATGTCCCCTGCTTCTTTGTCTTCTCGGAGAATTTTTTTCTCACTTTCCAGGTTTGTCCTATGGCCGTTAAGTTGTGATATATCTAGGAATGCACTGATCTTTGGTACGTCGCACCTCCTTTGCACTTCTCTATAGGTTCGATTTTCCTTGATGGTTGTTTTCATCGTCTCCCTACACTGTTGTAGGTATGGGCAGCCCAGATATCTGGTCCCATGCGGACCGGAGCAGTTGGCACATTTCCTATTTCAGCTTGGCTTTCGCGAGTTGCCATCCTTCTGGGCCAATAGACATTCTCTGAAAGGGTGAAGCTGATTGTTCCATTTAAGTGACTTCGGTTTTGCTGATATGCTTCACTAGACCAACTTATCACTGGCGCCTTGATCTGTTCATCTGCTACAGTTTGTATGTTACGTTGTTTTTTCTTCTCTCCGGTATTGACAGTATCATTCATTACTGCAGACCTGGTTCCTCTCATGTTGGTGGCAATGGTTGGTTGGTTTCTTGGTTTCCAATCATCTACTTTGCGTGGGGCTCGACGCCTGGTAGATATCCTTTTTCTTTATTTGCTTGGAAACGGATGCCAAGGTCAATTAAAAATTGTTAGGTGGTGAATTTAAAATCCTTTGGAGAGAGAAAGAGGGGTCGTCGGTGGTTGGGGTGTAAGGGGGAGGGTGATGGCAGTCACTGTTAAGTTAGAAATCTTAAAACATGAGTTTAATTGAGCGTAAAACATGCTTTTAAAGTTCTCAATTTTGTATTATTATTTCTATTTTAATAACGCTTCCTCATCTATGCAAACAGTTTTTTTTTAGTTTTTTTTGTGTGTGGCGAGTCTGTCGGTTATTTAGAAATAGTAGTAAGCTTTACTTTCAGCTGTTAGAAGGAAAAGAAACTTTAGCATGTGGTACACAAAAAATAACTATCTTTTTCAAGTCCTTAAAAAACAATTTAAACCATACTAATATAAAGACACTTATCTCTTGCAAGTTCTAGAGTTGCCAAATCAGACTGTCTGCATGTCTGAGCAGACACCGATTGTGATATTACCCATTTTAGACACTTCTTTTTTTTTTCGAAAGACTCAGCCACAGCAAATCGTGGCGGGTACTGCTAGTAGATTTATAAAAATGGATATAGCAAAATATATCGGATTCGCGATTAGCATGGCTAGGATAGGGACGTTACAAAGCTTTTCCCGCCTTTACCGTGAAGGTGGTAGGTTTGGTTTATGGCTGCAAAATGTAGTTCCCTATTGTATGTGTTTCGTATATTCCTATGAATCATTGCTGGACCCTCGGAGCTCGATCTTTATTTGAAGCTCTGAGGGGAGAGACTAAGCCATGGAATTTCATCCGGGGCAATGATATCGACCAGTTTTTCACGTGCAATGCCTCTGAACTGCAGTTTGTACAGAATAAACATATTGGCTGTCATCAAAGACTAATATTTATGTCACTCAGAATATTCATTCATAACCTTTATTATATTCCACATTTGCTATACTTGCACACGATCAGTTGTTGGTCCGGGAACTCAAAAGACTTGTTATCGATCAGTTTTATTGATCTTTTCCTTAGACAAACACCACATCCACTAACAAAGAAGAATCTTGGAAAGAATTAAGAAATAGCGTCACTACAGATTTGATGCTGCTGTTTATGATTTGCATTTTTAGTTGAATTTCACAACATACATGAAGATCAAAGATTGTATGTTACACATATTGATGTTAGACTGTAGATCCAGAGTGAACATTAGAGTAAAATAATTACATATCAATTTCTAATTTACCTGTAAATTTTTTGGCGTATTTGATTAGAAAAATTGCATTCATGTATGAAAAAGAAAGTTCTTGGGTTCATATGGAACATTTATTAAAGAAGTTCAGTGTAGAATAGCTCACCTAATGCATTATTTTACAAAACAAAGAGTGTGCTGTGCAGTCCTTCTTTGTCAGCTAAGGTGAGAACAAAAATGTTAAGAGCTTTATCAATCACAATCACACGATCTTTTTAGCAAAAAAAAGTTTGCGTTTCATTTCATGGCAAAGCAGAGCAAAATTGTGAATATAGAAGAGATGTACATAATGATTTTGTAAATTTTAAAGAGGCGTATGATAGTGTACATAGAAACAGTTTATGGAATGCTAAAGTAATATATAAAGGCAGAATAAGACTCTTTTCAAATAACATCTGGTTGAAAGCAAGTTGATGGACGTGCAGATCTTTACCCCCAATTCTTGTACTCTTAGCAGAGATGTGGATGTTCTGCTCCTAACATATGCGACAGTTACTGAACACCGGCATAAAACAAAAGATGCAATTGTAAAATGCAAATACGAAGTCACTGAACCGTACATATTTAGGCTATAATGCATAGTAGTCAGAGACAAACTGCACTTCTAGGTGTTAGAATCACTAAGGCTTCAGCTTGATAGGTCAGTGCTATAACCGCCAGCACAATCTACATACATATATCTATGTGTGCTTGAAGAGCTTGACATTAAAATGATACTATAACAGCAACTGAGACAATTGTGATTTTCATTGGTCTTTTCAAACTTAAGCTGAACTATAATTTAAGTACCGCCGTGCTCATTCCGTATAGTCTTTTTATTTATTCTTTTCTTTAACTGTATAATTAATTTCTTATGTATTTATGTCAGCCCAAATTTGTCTTTCTTTTTTTTCTTGTTGTCTCTCTCTCTCTCTCTCTCTCTCTCTCTCTCTCTTTCTCTCTCTCGCGCTCTCTCTCTCTTTATTTCTATGTCTTTTTGTCTTTCTTTAGTTCAGTCATTCATTCATTATTATTTTCGTTTTCTATATTCATTCCTTTCTCTCTTTCTCCCTCACTCTTGCTTTCTTTGAGACTACTGTTCTATCTGTCAATATGTATTAAATTGTTTGTTTACCTTATTTTGAAATATCACTTGAAATTGTTGTATCTTTATGTATACTCACATGCAAACTCTGTATTCATATTTTATGTTCTCACACACACACACACACACACACACACATATATATATATATATATATATATATATATATATATATATATATATATATATATATATATATATATATATATATATATATATATATATATATATATATATATATAAACACTTGTGTCTATAACTGTTTTTGCAATCATTACCTAATTAGTGTACTTTTGTTTTCTGTTATCATAGGTACCACATTGTCAGGATACAAGCTCTGTCAGTTTCGATACGCAAGCTTCAGCTGTTGCATGCAGTACATGGTACTTATGCCGTTGCAAATGTCTTCCGCGCATACCCTAATGTACACAGCCATTTCAAAATGGAGATCGTACACTAGTCGCCAGATATGAACATATCCGTAATTGTATCTCTTGAGGAAATGGTGTCATACCAGTGACTCCACAGCTCAACACAGCTACTGCTATGCGTAAGGTCTGCACAAATTGAAATATGGTCTCAAAGCTGCATTTGTTGTTCAGGCATGATCCCACCGTATGATTGTTGCTTGAATGGACTTTTCTATTTATGGCTTGTGCTGTACATAGAATACCAGTGGATCATCACGTCCCGCATTTCCACATGGTATTAACGTGGAACGAAATAAATAAATTGACAACGAGCGTTTCCTATACGGAACAATACAGCAAGCAATCAACGTTGGCAAGAAACCTCAGTAAACCAGAGTGTATCTTCCTGACTCGTGTTATCAATTGATTTCCAGCAGACGACCGTCACTATATGGATCATGGACCTGAACTCTACCAACCCCACCTATGACTTTACAGATGTCATTATTTTTTCGACAGTCAGTCCAGAGTACAACACGACAGGAAATGCCAGCATCGAAAACGACCTGGGTCGACAAGTCACTCTAGGAATCTTCTTCGGGTTAAGCATTTTGACAGCAATTGGGGGAAACCTGCTAGTCTGCACAGCCGTCTTCACTGACAGGCGACTCAAGAGGTTTAAAAACAACTACTTTATCGTGTCCTTAGCGGTTGCAGATCTTCTTGTCTCTGGTGTAGTTATGACTTTTGCTATGGTCAACGATATCCAACAAAAGTGGATTTTTGGTGGAGTTTTCTGTCGCATTTGGATTTCATTCGACGTCATGTGTTCGACGGCGTCAATCCTTAACCTGTGCGTAATCAGTTTTGATCGCTACAAGCATATACAAAATGCTATGTACTACGATATGTGGATGACTACAAGGAAAGCATTGACGTTTATCGCTGCTGTATGGTTTTTATCAGCCCTCATATCCTTCCTACCAATTCAGCTGGGCTGGCACCAAGGCTCTGTTTACGATAACAGTAGCATCGGAAACGACGACGAATGCATAATTAAACTAAATTTTATCTACGCAATCGTTTCATCAACTATTAGTTTTTATGCACCGTGTTTAGTCATGATGATCCTTTATTTTCGTCTTTTTCTGTTCGCAAGAAGCCATGCAATCAGTATAAAAAGCCAGAAACTGCCAGCGATTTCATCACCCGTAGACCGCAAAAGCAACATCAGCAATGGCTCAAACCGGAACTCACAAAAGACCTCTGACCACAAAGCAGCCTTCACTCTTGGCGTTATTACAGGAGTGTTTCTTGGCTGTTGGCTTCCATTCTTTATCATTAACCCTATTAATGCCTACGACCCAACACTTGTGCATCCCAATGTGTTCGTAGTCTCTACATGGCTTGGGTATGTCAATTCCTGTCTTAATCCTATCATTTACAGCATTTTTAACACAGAATTCAGAGAAGCATTTAAACGGATTCTATGTCTTCGAACATGTAACTGGAACCAGAACTATCTTCCTTCTGTTGTGAGGACAAATAGCAAGCGGACTAAGTTCAAAAAGGCGGATTACGACCCACAGCCTTCTTCGGATAATGGATCAATGTTACGCAAGACGAGCAGAGACCATCTGTTTAATGAAAAGATCACCCCGTTGTGAGGCTTGTGTATACCAAGAAAATTATGTTTCACTCAAATTTTAGGCTTATTTAGCACAATGTAAAGGCCCCCGTTGTGTTCGTTGTGTGTGGCTTCGAATGTATGGTTTAAGCTGAGGCTTTTTTTTTATAAATAGGCACTCAATGGATGACGTCGTCAGAATCAAACGAAAGTGGGTCCATTACCAACAAGAAATGAAGGACACTCTTCATGCCGGTGGCAAATTGGGCATACGTCGCTATTGACCAGTGGGTGATAATGACAGCATCACGCCAGCCACCTTTATTTCCAGGACTTTACCTGGTATTCATTTAAGAATGGGTAACAACTGGTAGTCAAAGTCATTTTTGAAAACTGTATCATTTGGGTCGGAGGTGGAGTGTCTAGCCGCTACACCACTACGGCTCCCCGTAGGTACATTACAGCCCTCTAAACTCACAAATCCTTTGGCGCTCCATGTGTTTTGAGTTCAATACCTGACCAAACGACTTTACTTCCCAGAACTTTTTCTGACACCTATTCAGACTGGGTCCACCGGGAGAACCTAAGTCACAAAAAGGTGATCTTGTATGGATGGAGATTCGAACACATGCTCACAGGCTGACTGACATGCAGGTAGCGCTACGGATCTATCCTAGCTGTGCGTGTATATACTCCTGATAAATTATATCGTAATAATGTAAATATCGTTAATATCTATTAATGACTCCAACATTGCAATATTGGTTTAGCAATACTGCATGTGTTAAGATATTCCGCGCATGCGCCCAGAGTAGAATTGTTGTGATAAAGAATGTGTGATTTCTAGGGACAGTGTTTGCATTTTACCAAAGATGATTGTAATACCTATAAGCCAAATTGTGTGTGTCCTGTATTTTGTATTGTTGGCAGGTTTACCTATAAGCCAAATTGTGTGTGTCCTGTATTTTGTATTGTTGGCAGGTTTAATTTATAATCCAAGATACACTAACCAGAAATAACGCAATGTGTTTTACTGAATAGAATGCTTAACAAAAAGAAAAGGAAAAAAAACACACACACACAGTGCATATAATGTATTGCATTATACTGACAATTAATCTAAATGAAAATGAAGTAAAGGACCGGACATAAAAGTGCTTGCAAAAGCTACTGGTATACATATCTTCTAACATACGCCTACAATTAACCTGGAAAGATTGAACATTAAATAAATTATATTCTCACGCAGACATAACATAAGGTCTCGAGATATTCTAAATTACTGTAAAATGGGCTGGGTGGTCAGATCCCTGCTTTAGCCTATTTTTATTTTATGAACATTATCGTTTACCAACTGCATGATCTTGGACCAATCTCATTACAATCACGAGTTCGTATGTTTACACCCTACAACCCCCCAAGCCCCCCCCCCCCCCCCCCCCCCCCCCCCCCCCCCCCCCCCCCCCCCCCCCCCCCCCCCCCCGACCCCCCCCCCCACCCCCCCCCCCCCCCCTTAAAAAAAAAAGGCTGTCAAAACTGCTGGCATTGTCTTCCTCTGTCTTTTTCCACAAATCTTTTCAGTCATCATGTGTTTTGCGGCATCCGAGGCTTAGGCGTTGCGAGTCCGACTCGTAATTGCAACGTACCGCGATCGAAACCCACAGCTGGCTGCGTGGATTTTTATCATGGTGTGGGGGGCGTCGCAGGTCGACCCAGCCTAAAATGGGTTCCAGGATGGCTGTCCTGGGGAAGTAAAGATGGCCGGCGTAATGCTGACCACATAACCCAATTGTGCCGATTGGTCTGTAAAAATATGGGACGCTCTTCCCATATGCCCGATGCGCCTAAGGCGTGAAAAGGGATCTTTACTTACTTTACATTATGTGTTTCTATCTATTTATTCTAATAATGTGGCCCAAATCTGATGACTGTCTATTTTTTATATGTGTTATGCTTTAAGGCCACGCTTTTCCAAAACATCTGACAGTCAAAGAAATGTGTATTGTTGTTATGTGAAAGCATATCTCTGAGACCTAAAGCAATTGTTTAGCTTCTTTAACGACTGTTGGGAATTTGCGGCCATACTTTTAAACGAAAAAAGGTCTTAGTTTTCTTCAAAACAGATGCATATCCAATTTCCACGCATTTAAATGTTTGGATTTTATTAGGGTAGCTACTTATTGTGGATAAATTCGCCCTTAGCACGGAACGACACACAATGTCGTGTTCATTTTGCGGATTGTTTATTAGTATAGATTTTAGACTGAGTCGACACGGGAGCCACAGGGATGTTTTTAAATCATATCCTCATTGAAGACTGGAATACATGACCACGGCACTGTAACGTATACTAATGGGCAGACACACTTTCTTTACGTCAGTACTGTTCGGGAAAACGGATCCGTGTACTGCTTGGGCTTGCATTTACACCAATTTTTCTTAGTAAGAAAGTGTTCCTATCACTTTGCCACAATGGCTTGTTTGGCCGTGTATGTGTATGTGTGTATGCATGTGTGAGTTTAGAATGATATATTTCACAC